AACTAAATTATTATATATAGAAGAAAAAGATAAGTATAAAATAGCAGAAATAGAAGATTCTACTTATAATACTATTAGATATTTCAGAAAAGAATCAGCTAGAAAAACAAAAGAACTTCGAAAATTAAGACAACAATTAAAACAATATGAAAAAGATCAAGAAGCTAAAGAAGCAGAAGAAAAACTTCAAAAGGAACGAGAAGAATGGTATTCTACAAATTGGAGACTAGAAAAGTCAACTAACGAATTAAGAGTAGAATTAACTAAAGAAAAACAAAACTTACAAGTAAAATTAGAGAAAATAAAAGAACTAGAAGAAGAAATAGTAATAGTAAAAGAAGAATGACAAGAATTGAAAAATGAACTACAATGGTAAGAATAAAAGTTTAATATAATTATTATAACTGAAATATTAACTTAAGAATCTAGGAGAGATTGGTGGATTAAAATGTGGAAGAAGAGAATAATAAACTTTGAGAAAAATGTGAAATATATGAAGAAAGTGAACATAGCTAGAAAGAAGCTTTGGATAACAACCAAGATTGAAAAGAACAAGAAATTGATATTACTTAAGATGAAGAAGAAAGAAATAGTACTATTAATGAAGATAGTATACGAACAATTGGGTGGAATGAAAATATAATGGACATAGAAGAAAGATCAATTGAATTTGAAGCTGAAGAAAGAAAAAAAGATATTGATAATCTTGAATACTTAAATGAAATTGCATATAGAGAATGTGAACAAAAACAGGATGAAGAATTTAGTAGTATGGAGAATATAAAAGATAAAGTTCAACCAACTATCGAAGGAATAGGAGGGAGTAGTAGTTCTGAAATCCCTTGGTTCGAAAGAAAAGAAACAGATTATAGTCAAATAGAGGCAAGGGCTTATTATAAAGCTCTTGAGAAACTTTTAGATGAAGAAGATTTCTGTTAGTTGCAATATGTTAATTTAAATCTCATTATATATATTATTAAATAAATAAATAAATTCTCTTAGCTTTCTTTGTAAATAATATAAAATCTTGTATAAAAATAAATAATTACTCGTAATAAAATTAGTTAGTAGTATAATCTCTTAAATATAATTTAAATAATAATAATATGTATAGATTATGATTACGATATCTTTTATACTCATAATGGTAATCGTTATAGTATTAATTTCTTCAATTTAAAATTTTCTACATCCGCCATTGTATCGTAAAGTCGATTCTCTTCTTAGTTATAGTCAGTTGTTTCTTGGTTATTTCTCCTCATGTTGAGAGTATCGAGTAGTGATGGTGTGGAACGGCATGTAAAGCGAATACAGAGGTCTTGTAACCGTTGCATTGGCTTAGAAAACCATGTAATTGTAACGGATAGAGATGTGATGTCACTAATTTGGGTCATTGAAAATTTCCTTCCAGATTAGATTCCAATTCGAGTAATTTCTCCCTTAATAATATATCCTGGAATTTTTCCTTTCTTCTGTCTATAAATCGTTCCATTTAATGTGTGGAAATATTATATTTTCTCAAAGAGGAATAAAGTTTTCTGATTCCTAAGTCTTCTCTGGAAATTTTTGTAATTTTTGATACTATGTAAGTTAAAACTTATATACAATAGTAATTTATACAAACTAAATTAGTAAGTATAAAATGATTTGTGGAGTATAATAGTAATGGTAAGTATATAATATGATATTGCTTTGTCTATCACACTAAAACGCTTATATATAATTTTTGTTAAAGTATATGTTAGTAAATTATTATTTTTTTTTTTTTTTTTTTTTTTTAAAAAAAAATTTTAAACTATAACCTTTATATACTACTCCCCTGTCTTATGTGATTCTTCCAGGATCACATCTTTTAAATCAGATTCGGTATGATTCACCTTTGAATTATTTATTCCTTTTATGCAATAATTCTTTTAGGAACTTTTCTTAATAACAATTGACTTCTTGTTGCCTTAAAATGCCGATTCTTTTATCTGAATCCACTATAATTCTTAAATTCATGAGTACTTTCTCATTCATTTTCGCTGAATTACGAATTTAAGTATAACGTATCTCTGTATAACTAATCTTTCATCGTGTGGTATTCTGTAAGTAATTCTTTATGAATTTTTATCCTAGCTTCGTTCTTGCTTTCCAACTTGAGTTCCTGCCTACACAGTGATCGTTGTATAGAATGTCGTAAGAGGAAATGATCGAGGCTTCTTCCTTGTATAATCGTTGAATGCTAATATTTGAAGGTAGGAACTTTTGTAGAATTAACAAAATCTCCTACAATATCTAATGACAAATAGGTTGAGCTTTGACTGCAACGTTCGTTCGTCTTTCCCCCGACTTGATTATCAACAATAGTTGAGGTTAATGTTCCTTCAATCCCATCGTCAATATTTTTTAAAGGTAGTCTTTCCTTTCTTATCACAAGCTGACATATAATCATCTGTCAAACGTTTTCCAACAGTGTTTCCGATTTATCCGTGATCGAATATGACTTATTCATGTTAGCTTTATTCGTTGACCTTTTCTCTGTCTTTTTGGTTTTATCATTTACATATCGTTTGATACTATCGCTACATTGTTCTATATTTCTATTTTCCCCATTAATCTCAATTCTCTCATCAATGTGATGGCGTTTAGCCCTTTTTTTGTACATGAGAAGATTTGTTATCGTCTTCTTTGAATAGATCGACATTTTTATCAGACTCATCATTTGAAGAATCGCGCGTCGTACGTTTGCCGATAGTTTTTTTTTTTTTTTTTTTTATATGATGTTGGGTAAATATTTTCTAAGGAAATTGGCTTTTTAGAGAACGGAACAACTGCCACTGTAGTTACTTTCATTCATAGTTGTAGATTATATACTGGAATATGGTTTCTCATTGCGAAGTCTTTTAATTTCGAATTAATATATTATGATAATAAGATTAATCAATTTTCACGTAGTACCTATTATAGCATTTAGCCCCGCCGGTACCAGGCTATATACACGAATTACAGGCAGAGAACCTTTTCTTTTTTTTTTTTTTTTTTTTTTTTTTTTTTTTTTCTGTACTCTTTCAAGGTACCAGTTTTGCGCAGTCCTTTTTTCGTGTGTTACCCCCCCCGGTAGCAGGCTCATACG